CTGCCTCATTATTTCATTTTTGGTTGTGATTTTGCCGATCATTTTAAGATTTCTGTTAGTTTTAGGGATAATTCTTGGCAAGTTTATGGTAATATTGATAACCATGAAGTCAAAACTGTCAAGGTTTGTGCCAATAATTTATGTTATGACCCTGTGCGACTTCTTTGTTCCTTAAGTGACCTTTCTTATTTCGAAAGAACTTGTGCTGAACAGGTTATCGCTTCTTTCAATGAAATTGTGAGTAAAGACTGTCTTGGTAGAACTGACAAATTGACTTTGTCCATAGATACCGGTGATGCTAAACCATTTCATAAGAAACCCTATCCGATGTCGCCATATATGTCTCAAATCTTGAATAAAGAAATTGATGATATGCTGAAGTTAGGTGTTATAGAGCCATCTCATAGTCCTTGGTCATCTCCGGTACTCTTGGTCAAAAAGTCTAGTGGAGAATATAGGTTGTGTGTCGATCTAAGGGGTGAGAATGCTCTCACTCGCTTCGACAGCTACTGCTTGCCTAGCATTGATAGGATTTTGAATTCCTTAAGGAATGCTAAATTCATCTCTTCCATTGATCTTCGGAAAGCATTTTGGCAAATTCCACTTAGTGAAGATTCGAGGGATAAAACCTCCTTTAATGTGGTTGGACGAGGTTCATTTAGATTCCAAGTTGTGCCCTTTGGACTATGCAATGCAGCTCAGATGCAGCAGAGGTTAGTCGATGCAATTTTTGGTCCCCGTTATGAGCCCTATATTTTTACCTACCTAGACGACATACTTATCTGTAGTCCAGATTTCGAACATCATACTAAGATCTTGATCGAAGTAAAAAATAAATTGAAAGAGGCTAACCTTACAGTAAACATCGAGAAGTGTGAGTTTTTCAAGACATCCCTGAAATTTCCCGGATATGTTGTTGGTTCTAACAGTCTGCGCACAGATCCTGAGAAGGTTTCTGCGATGGTCAATTATCCTCGACCTAAGACAGCCACCGAAGTGAAACGGTTTGTTGGCATGTGTTCATGGTATAGGCGCTTTGTCAAGGATTTTTCGACTTTGGTATCTCCTATTAATGATTTGTTAAAAGGACGTCGCAAATCTCAGCCGATTACATGGACAGATGCTGCAGAAACTTCTTTTGTCGCCATCAAAAATTTGCTAGTTTCAGCACCTATTTTGACTCAACCTGATTTCACAAAGCCCTTCATTATTCAATCAGATGCCAGTAATACGGGTCTGGGGGGTTGCCTTACTCAAGTCATCGATGAGGAAGAGCGAGTCATTGCTTATGCAAGCAGGTCACTTTCGAGAACCGAATGGAACTATTCTGTTGTGGAGAGGGAATGTTTGGCTGTTCTATTTTGTATAGAGAAATTTCGAATGTGGATTGAGGGTGCTCCCAAATTCAAAATCATGACAGATTCTTATTCCTTACTTTGGCTCAATAACTTAAAAAATCCAACTGGAAAACTTGCTCGTTGGGCAGTTCGTTTAAGACAACATAACTTCGATCTTGTACATAGGAAAGGAATTGACAATGTTATTCCAGATGCGCTTTCCTGCATACGGGAAAGCCAAAGTAATTGAGTTTCCTGATCGTTATCCCCAATGGAAGGTGGAAGATCAATTTTTGTTCAAATTTGCTCCGAATAATTCCCCAATATTCCACAATGGAAACTTTTAGTCCCAAAACCTCAGGTGAAGGAAATCATCGAGAATTGTCATTCTCCACCCACTTCAGGACATTTTGGATTTTATAAAATTTTGAACCGAATACAGGAATTCTATTATTGGCCAAAAATGAGAAAGGATGTGTTACTCTTCATAAAGTCGTGTTTGGTGTGTGGTGCACAAAAAGCTTCAAATACAGCACGCATGGGACTCATGGGAAAAGAAAAAATTATTGATATGCCTTTTCAGTGTATTGCAATTGATTTGATAGGACCGTTCCCTAGGTCAAAGAAAGGCAGTAAGTTTTTGTTGGTCATTGAAGACTGGTTTTCTAAATTTTCTCTTTTGTTTCCCCTTCGTAGTTCAAAGTCTCCCCACATCGAACGTATTTGGAAAAAGAGGGACGCCTCATTTCATGTTGGTGATCAAGTGTGGAGGAGAAATCATATTTTGTCAAACGCAGCGAACCAATTTAGTGCAAAATTAGCACCTAAATATATTCTCAGCAGAGTACATAAAAAATACTCAAATTTAGTTTATGGTCTGAAGAATATAGATGGTTCTGATGCTGGCAAAGTACATATTAAGGACCTTAAGGCATACACAGGTATCGATGTAGACCTGGATAGTGATGCTGAAAGTATTGAGTCAAATGATTCTTAAATCAGTTTTGGCTATTGTATCAATACTCATGTTTTAATACTATTTTGTAAGATTAATATGATTTTTTTTTTGAGCGTTTGGTTTTGTGAGTAGTCGCGACACCCACTTTGCCATATATGTCTCTAGCTTTTGGAAATATTTTTGTGAGTTCATTTTGGAACTCTGGATTTGACCTTGGTGAGCATAAACATAGTATTCCTAATATAATTTGTCTCTGCAGTTTTGAGTACTTTGTTTTGCAGTTTGGATTATGTTGTGCTAACGCCAAGAATTAAACCAAGTATTACCCTATTTAGACTTTATTTTGTGATCTTATCTTGATATTGTAAGATAAGTGAGGCTTTTGATACCCGATTTTGACATTTGTATTTTGCTTTAGGCAAGTACATAACCCGATTTTGACCTTTTTTTTTCTACCTTCAGTAGAGTTTTTTTGAGTTTTTTGTTATGGGCCCTGTGGTAGGTTAGGTGCTGTTGGGTACTTCAGGTGAGTCTGGGGTTATCCTGCTTGTAGGAAGGGTTGCGTATTGGGGGGTGTCGCTTGGACTTCAACTTGCTCAAATTGCAGTTGTAGATAGTTGGGTGGCACTACTGTGCAATCCTAATCCCTATAAGTAGCCCAGATAATCTGAAGTGGATTGACAGCAGTAACAAACTACGGATTATCCCGGTCATTTTCATTTTTTTTGCATCCCTACTCTCGAGTAGTTTCAGTGGTGGTGGCTTACTATAATGTCACTAGGGCTCTGGTCAAGTCCTGGCTTTGCCAAATGATTTTGTTTTATTTTTTTTTTTTATTTTTTTTTTTTTTTGGACCCCTTGTTATCTGTGTGTGAGGTCGGTGGTGGGGTAGGCGTGTGGCGTGTGACAACTTGCCAGTGGATTATGTTAGGATCGATCACGCTGGAGACTCCAACGGCCCGGCCCACCCTTTAAGATCCACGTTGGGAAGGAGCCTTCAGTGCCATTGACTTGTTGTTGCAGGTCTAGCGTTTGCTCTTTCATTGGTCGAGCACACTGAGACATTGTATGAAAAATTTAAACTTTTTTGTTGTGCCGTTTGTGGTTTGTGGTTAATAAGAAATCTTCCAGCTTTCTTATTTCTTTTTGGAAGGGGGTAGTGTAGCATTTTCAATTTCTCGTTTGATATGCTACTGTGTTTTGCTCTAGTAGATATGATTCTATATAGAACTACAATGAAATAAATGAATAAACAACTGTCTTTTCTGTGCCCAGATTTTGTTACCTTGATTACTGCCTTCTACTGAAAGTTTTTTTGTGCAGGTTTGCAAGTTTTGTTGATTGATCTAGGAAGGTTTGATTCAGTACGGCAGGGCCCGCTGTTATTGATTAGAATCTTAGGAAAAGGAGGTAGTACCATCATCATCTCTGTTTGCAAATCCAATCAATAATCTGAGGTTATGATAAATTGTTGTTTACTCTTGGATTTTTCATTTCCATCATGTCATTGAACAGCTGTTTTGTCTAGGCGTTTTCTTTAGACCTGTTTTACTTTTTGATATATGTTCTATAGGCATTTTTCAATATTCACCAGTCATTTTTATACAACCAAACTTTCAGTTCGTATTCTTGGAGTGAAACTGAACACGCTTTTTTCCATAATTTTTGTCAATGTCAAAATTAGAAGTTTGACAAATGAAATCCGAAATCTAAATTAAGAATCAGCCCTTTTGATCTTGAGACTTGATACCGAAAGGTTGGTCTCGGCCCTATTTGATTTTGGGCGAGACTTTTTCGAATTTTGTGCCAGGGAACTCAAGGTTTAGACTAATTTCTTGTTGATAATTGTCTAGAGTCGTCCCTTGGTCATTTTGGATTTTGTTTCGGTAAGTTTTTGAGATTTTCTTCAGGATTATTAACCTACAACACGTGTTTCGTTTCTTCAATAGGACTGTTCCGAGCAGCTTTTGGAAGTTTAAGACTTCACCTTTGGTCTAGAGGATCCCTCAATTTGAGGTAAGATTATTTCTAATATTTGGGGCTCGATTTGTTTTTTTATACGAACATCGTTATAGGGTCCTACTCCTAGTCCTAGTGCTAGGCTGTAGCTAGACAGTCTTAGGCTATAGTTGGACAGCTCCTAGAAAGAGATTCTAGACTAGATCTAGATTGCTCTTAGTTGGCTTTTTTTTTATAATCAAATATTTATAAATTGGTACAAGCATTATTCTAAACACATTTTTAATAACCTCCTGGCTATCCCTATATTTTGTTATTATTTTTAATAAAGAAGCCAGATACATTATTGTACCTAATTAGTTGTTTTATTGATAAGCTCTCCAATTGCACAGGTTTTGTTTATAACATCATTAAGTTATCTTCCTAGTTAAGTCACAATTAACTTGGTGGCGCCCAAAGGTAAGATGTATACAAAGAACCCATAGACCCATGGCCTCCGAACTGAAGCTGACTAGCCGTAGCAGTATAATTAGGCAATTGCCAAAATAAGTACGTTATACGATAACCCAGGAATTTTTCGTGGTCTTTTTTACCGCTGAACTGACCAAACATTGGCGGAACATTTGAGAGATTCCACCGTTTTTAAAGGTACATCCAAAGAAATTCAAAATAACATTTTGGATTGCATGTTAGAGGTTTGCCACCAAACAATTCTAGAGGAGATTCGAAAAACTTGCTATATTTCTATGATAGCGAACGAAACAACGGATGTCTCAGCCAAATCTCAGATGGTTGTAATTTTTAGATACATTCAAAATGGAGATCCCGTAGAACGGGTTTGGACTTATTTGGAGCCACAAAATTTAACTGCAGAGAGTTTGACTGCTGGTATTCTCAGTGTATTGGACCCTATTTTAGAAAACTCGAAAGAAAAGTTAATAGCCCAAAGTTACGACGGAGCCACGGTAATAAGCGGTAGAAATACTGGTGTTCAGGCACGAATCAAAGAAAAGTACAACTTCGCTCATTTTGTACAGTGCTATGCGCATCAGCTAAATTTAATCATGTCTAAGGCAGCATCTGAAAGTCCCCAAGTTCGACTCTTTTTTGGAAATCTTCAAGAATTACCTTCTTTTTTAAAAATTCTCCGCAACGCGTAGCTGTACTGAATAGAATTGTTGGGAAAAGAATTCCCCATGGTGCACCAACACGTTGGAATTTTAATATTAGAACAATTAACGTCGTTTTTGAACACAGCGAGTCTATGCTTGAATGCATGGAAGAAATAGAGAATTTATTCAGCAACCAAACTGTTTGTAGTGCAGCTTCTTCAATAAGGAGGATGCTACAAGATCCAAAGTTTATTTTTTGGCTAACACTTTTTCACCGTATCATGCCACACGTCGATATTTTGTTCAACGAATTATAAAAAAAAAATTGATCCTGTGGAAATTAACCAAAAAATTCAAATTTTTGAGAAGAGCATTCTAACAGTAAGAAATTCAATGGATGAAATTATTAACGAAGCCGGGAGCATAATATCTACTCTTGATTGTGAAACAATGCCTTCTAAAAGAAAAAGAAAAAATGACAGTCAGTTTCATCACCGTATTGCTGCGTTAGAGGTTTGCGATATAATTATTAACTGCGCAAAGGACACATTTGATTACAAAAATCATCTGTTAGCAGCCTCATTGCTATATTCCGACCAGTTTGCTAATTACATTAATTGTTTTCCTGACGAAATATTAAAAGCAACTTGCGAGTCGTATCCTAACCTTGATAAGGAGCGTTTAAAAACAGAACTTTCAGTGGTTTACTCCAGATCAGTCTGCAGGGACCTACAGGGAGCAATACCTTTTCTAAAATTACTTATTGAAAATAATTTAACCAATTCATTCCAAGAGACTAAAAAGCTCTTGGAAATATTAATAACCACTCCCATGTCAACAGCAGAAGCCTGGAGAATCCTCCAAGGCTAAAAAGGTGCCATTACCCCCGCCGATTATGATTAATGGCGTTAATAACTTTAACGATATTTACGATAAGTTAAATATCATACAAGGAGTCCAAATAAAAGTTTTAAATAACGAAAATATCGAAATAAACAGTTGGAATTCATATGAAAACAAACAAGAAAGGCCAATTAGAGTAATGGACCTCTTGCACTCAATTAAAATTAGGTATATAATTTATCTGTAACGAAAGTGTATTTGATGTACTACATAGAAGTATGGTTGGTTAATTTTTTTAAAAATCTTGGAGTCAGAAATTGAAAGAAAAAAAAACAGATGATTTGAATTTTGCGGTATAATTTTGCACCAATAAAAAATCACTGTTTTTCTAAGGTTTGCCAAATTTCCATGTTCAAACGAATATTTTTTTTTTCTTTTTGAACACATCGGACAAAAAAGGAGGCATATATTTATGAAAATCGCTTTGCGTATCGACTTTGGTATACAGCTCTACTTTTGCCTTGAAACTTGAGGAGAACGACATCTATTAATTAAAGAATCGACTAGTATCGACAATTTTCTTTCCTTGTCTATAAATGCGAATTAAACAAAGAAATCGATATCTGCACTAATCCGGCACAGTATAAAGTACGAAAACGATAAAAGCGATTTTTGTTTACCGTAGGTCAGTGACCCCTGGCTGGCCAATTTACTTATAATCACAAAATAAACAATAATTAACAACAAAAAACAGCAGGCTGGGGCTGGGGGCAGTGTAATTTGAAGAAAAAACAAAAATGATGTTTTTGCCTGGGAAAATTTGAAAAGGTCTTTAGGGAAACTGGAACGTATGGAATACAGACACATAAAAATTATACTCGTGTTTTATTTCCCATAAACCACTAAGAAAAATGATAATAATTTTAATAGTTAGGTAATTATGTTTATTTTGTTTGTGCGATGGAGGATGGAAGAGTTTTTAGTAAAAACCGATTTCGGGAACTGGCCAGGAGGACTTGAGATAATGCCAATGCTTTCAGAAAAAAATTCACATGAAGGGTGAAGTTTGTTTTTCTTTTTAAAAGATAAAAGTCAAAATGACATTATGTTGGCAATACAATGAAAAATTGTTAAATTTTTTATGTAGCAAAGGCTTGTGTCGCCAACATAGTTACTAAATTTTTGACTTGGGGAATTATCTTAAAAAAAAAACCACCCTTCAGGTACTTGGTAGATAGGTATTAGTAAAATGCAGGTGGAGTAGAGCAACCTTCTACAAATAATGATTCCCTTATATGCTTATTAGGTAGAAACTTCTAAAATTTAGAAGCACACACTAGTAAATGAGTACCTAAGGTATTCAATTATAAACGACATAATGGCCTTATGCTCGGGTTTATTGTTTGTTTCTTGATGGTTTGTGTGCCTTCTCTGCCTTCTGTCTGTTTTGGAGAAGCTAATAATAAATAAATAAAAATAAATAATGAATAATCAATTGAAAAGTTGGGTTAAGTTTTCCATAGGAAAAGTTTACATGAAATTCTTGACATCTGGGCAACACTGAATAAAATTGACCAATCAGAAATTTGGTGCCGTGACGTCACGGCACCAAGAAATTTGAACTTCAAATCGAAATTTAAAGCCTTTGCAAGTCCGAAAAAAATCTGAAAAAAATACAGTTGAGCTTTATTTTGACTCCTCTTTCCAATAAGCAAATTAAAAAAATGCATGCAAGAGTTCCATTGCCAACAGGTTACACTTTTCCTGTGATCCAGAAAAAAATGTAGCTGACCTTAAAAATAAAGGGTTCAAGGCCCTAGAAGCCTCCAACAAACTTAAGTGGAGAACAAAACAACCACTAAACATGTTTATGATAACATTTCGCCATGTTGAAGATATCAACAAAATTTTCGAAATTTCCAAAATACTTGGAACTCAAGTGGAAATGAAAGCACTAAAAACTTCCAAATTAGTCCCTCAATGCAAAAGATGTCAATCTTATGGACATACTCAAAAATATTGCGCTAAAGAGCCACGATGTGTGAGATGTACAGGAAAACATCTCAGTGTAGACTGTTTCTGCCAAAACAATATTCTGATATTTTGGAATCATATAGGTGTGACAGACATTTCAGAGTCAAACAGGAAGATTTTAAGTCAAATTTACGAAAAATAAAAGCAGGTGTACCTCAGGGTAGCGTGCTAGGTCCCTACTTATATTTATTATTTACATGCGACATCCCAAAATCAGAAAATTGCATTTAGCAACATTCGCCGACGATACTGGTTTAATTACAGTAGAAAAAAGCATTGAACAATCAACAGAAAAACTGCAGCACGCTGTCAGTGAAGTTCAAAATTGGACCAAAAAATGGCGAATAAAATTGAATGAAACCAAATCAATTCACGTTGATTTTACAAACAAAAACGTAAATCACATACAAATCACAATTAATGATATCCCTATACCATATTCAAATCAAGCTAAATATCTTATGACGCTTGATGCGAAATTGCGCTGGAAAGCACATGTTAAGAAAAAAAGGCAAGAGCTTGAATTTAAGTATAGAAAAATGTACTGGTTAATTGGGAGGACGTCCAATTTAACCATACATAACAAGTTACTGCTTTATAGGCAAATACTGAAACCAGTATGGGCATATGGCATTCAACTTTGGGGTTGTACTAAAGATAGTAACATACAAGTTATTCAAAGATTCCAAAATAAAGTACTAAGAAACATTGTTAATGCACCTTGGTACGTTCGAAATAGTGATCTACATCGGGAACTAGGAATTGATACTGTAACAGAGACTATAAGAAAGTACGCAAAAAGCCATGAAGATAGACTACATCGGCATGTGAATGTGGAAGTGACTGAGCTCCTAGACAACACTGAGCTAGTTAGAAGACTGAGACGGGTGAAGCCGTTCGAGCTAGTGAACTGAAATTGAAAAACACAACAAAATAGTGCTATAAACACATCAAAATTGTGATTTACAGTTTAAACAAAGTGGGGAAAACTGTTGAGTGAACCTCAAGAATTGTAAACTTTATAGTAAATTAGGTTAAAACAAAATTGCTAATTAGTCTTACTGATTAGATTGTAATGTAATAAACACAATGTGTTTGACAAATAAAAAAAAAAAGAGAAGCCGAACGTTCCTTCTCTACTTTAAAGCGCATCAAGACTTTTTTACGCAATTCTATGACGGAAGAACGTCTTGTTGCTCTATCAATGCTTTCGATCGAAAAAAAAAATTGTCACCGAAACTATAAACTTTAACGACAAAGTTATAGATAAATTTGCAGAAAAAAAATCGAAAAATTGGCTTAATTTTCAAAAAGTGACTAGGTACCTCTTTATGTCAAAATAGGAAACTTGTACATTTTTTTTTTACATTTCACTAAGGACTTAATGCCAAATATCAAGCATTAAAAATCAGCCGTTAATTTTTTTATAAATATTTGAAGTTCCGCTCGAAACATCGCCATATAAAACGACCGATTAGCGCGCCAAAAAGTTTGTGGTCACTCGGCAACAAAATTTCATTGACAGTTACGAGCACTTCGAGCTTCGAAGAGGTAGATTTAGATTATGGTTAGTGGCGGTGGCGCGACACGCGTCAACCGATTATTACTGCGTTGTGACGTCAGGACCCATAAAACACGTTTTCGATCGCGTCATGAATTTCGAATTATTTGGTATCCAATTAATTATGCAAGTTCCCTATTGAAATTAAGAAATCTTTAGGTTAGTGAGTTTAACGTGCAGTGAAATTTAACCTTCATAGCACCATAGCTTTTTTGTTATCACTTTAAATTTTTATTTTTTTTTTGTTATTTGACCGGATAGCTATCTTCTGTTTATAATTCAATGTATATAATTGTAAAAATATACCATGACTAAGTTTACACATTGTGAGTTATAATTTGGTTCAGGACTTTTGTTACAAATTGATGTAGTACATCGCTTGGTAGCCGAAGTGCCAAGGATGTACTTTATCAGGTTATTACATGTATTACGTATTTGTTTTTTAATTTGATTTTCTTTGCCTGGTGAGCCCCTGCTAACCCCTCCAAAATAAACGAAATTTATCAGACGTGCACTCACATTTCCAAAACCAAAGTTAAAAAAGTAACATGTTTTTTAATTATCTATTTTTTTTGAAAAATACGATCGAATAATTTTGTTTTTTTTTTTTCAATTAGTTCTACGATTTACTATTTGTTTAATCGCTCAATAATTGACGAGTCCTTTTCCTCTGGGCTTCACAGAAATTAATACATTTCTGGGGTTTATGTTGGAATTAGCAAAAAACAATAAAATCTTCACGAAATGATTTGATGATGTTTTTATTGTTGTTTGTTGATTCAAAAAAAAAACTTGACAAAATGAACGTTTTTGGGCGTGGCACCCAAAAAAAAAAATTCTGCATCCGGCGGCACCTGCGGTGGGCGTCCGTCTATCCCAAACTAATACACCGCTAGGGCAGAACCTCCAAATTTTGAGGCCACGAGCCGCCACTGCTGTGGTTTCTTATTGAAACCAGAAAAGAGTTCAATGTCATTTTTTAAAACATATACAGTGTCATTACTTAAGTGTGCAACATATGGGATTTTTCTTTAGTAATAGCACAACCCAAATACAAACAAGGCCAAAAGTTGGTGCATGTCTGATAATCATATTAGGTGTACTTAGAATGTTTGCAAGTCAAACAGCATACAGGGTGGCTCAAAAAATATCAAAATTCTACTAATATTTACTTAAATAAAATAAAACTTTTGCACTTTAAGGAGAGTTTTTTTAATATGGCTATTATCATTAGTAATGTTTTAACTTGTTAAAAAACAAATTGCGACATTTTAAAGTTGTGTTGAATATCATTGCAATAAACATGAATTTTGTGATTCCATAAAAAATTAAAAATCTAAGTTAATTTTACAAATAGGGGAAGGTGACCTGTGATGGCCCTGCGCCTGTGTCGGCCCTGTTGCGTTATTTTCTGTTTGAAATGTCTGGTTGCCTATATTGTATACTAGATGTATTTGGCATTCGCCGGCTAGTGTACGAACCGAATTTGGAGCGGTTACTGCGTTGTTTGTGCCTGCTATTAAAAAAAATGGATTTGGTAAGTCACTGATGTAAAAAATTACTATTTTAAATTGCATATCATGTTCCTATGTGAAGGGATAAACGAACACAATTTGAAAAAAGATATTTCAGTAGGTTCTTTATTACATATTTGGCAGCAATTTTGAGGTTATGTTTTGATGTAATGAGATTTTTGTGTTTTTGTGTCACATGATTTTTTGCCTATGATGGCCCCAGGCCCATATTCCTATGATGGCCCAGGGGCCATCATAGGAACATAGGCAGGAATATTAAATATTTTTTTAATTTCAGAATCAGTCAAGAAATAGGCAGCAGTGGAGCGAAGAAGATATGGATAAAGCTTTACAGGCATTAGAAAATAAGTCATTGGGCTATACTACAGCTTCGGAACAATTTAATGTACCTCGCACAACATTGCGTAGGAGGTTTAAAACAAAACAGGGCAGTGTGAAAGGATATTTAGGTGGATATAAGCCTACATTTAATGTGAATGTTGAGGCTGAAATTGCCAGACACGTGGTTAATTTGGAAACCAGGCTTTTTGGCCTTAATAGTACGGAGTTAAGAAAGCTTGTCTTTGAAATAGCCGAGAAGCACAAAATTAATCATCGCTTTAATAAAGAAAAGGGCATGGCTGGCAGAAAGTGGTTGAAAGGGTTTCTGGCGAGGAACCCAACGATATCTGTTAGAACTCCTGAGCCGACATCTATTGCCAGAGCACAGGCTTTTAATAAAGAAAACATGAGGGTGTTTTTTCGTTCCCTTGCAGAAGTTCTGGACAAATATAATTTTTTGCCTGAAAATGTCTATAATGTTGACGAGACTGGCATGAGCACAGTTCCTACGAAGGCTACCAAAATTCTCGCAACAAAAGGTAGAAAACAAATTGGAATTATAAGCAGTGCCGAACGTGGACAAAATTATACTGCTGTGTGTTGTATGAACGCTATAGGAACATTTGTTCCACCCGCCTTTATTTTTCCGCGGAAACGGTTCAAGGCCGAGTTAATGGATAACGCACCTGTCCGCAGTGTAGCATTTTGCCAAGACAATGGTTGGATGAATACAGAGACATTTGTCAAGTGGTTAAAGCACTTCGCCTTCCACGTTAAACCATCGAAAGAAAATAAAGTCCTTTTAATTCTTGATGGGCATAGTAGTCACAAGGGGTTGGAAGCATTGGAGTTTAGTAAGGAAAATGGCATTGTTATATTTTGCCTTCCGGCCCATTGTTCCCATCGCGTCCAACCCCTTGATGTTGGGTTTTTTGCACCTCTTCAAACATTTTACAATATAGAAATACAGAAATGGATGAGAGATAATCCAGGACGGACTGTCACGCATTTTCAAGTGACAAACCTTTTTAATAATGCTTACCTCAAAGCTGCGACTCCCTCAAATGCAATAGGCGGATTTAAAAAAACCGGTATTCATCCGTTTAACCCGGATGTGTTTGAAGAATGGGAATTTGCTGCTGCATCTACAACTGATAGGGACATCACAAACGAAGAACAACCGCAAAGTGAAGTTGTGGAAAAAATCCATCAGCCTGTAACTGAGCATGGATCCCAACACGAGACCCAGCATGAAACCCAAGACGAGACTCAACATGAAACCCAACACGAGACTCAGCATGAAACCCAACACGAGACTCAGCATGAAAACCATAATGAAACCAAGCAGACTTCCCAAGAAATTCACCAAATTGCAGGCCCGTCTATAAGCAGGGAGTAAATTGAAGAGTTATCCCCTCTCCCAAAAGCCCCAACAAAAGTGTTAACTCAAAGGAAAAGAAAGCGTGGAAAGACAGGGGTTTTAAACAACACCCCAGATATTGATGAATTAAAAGAAGTCAAAAAAGTAGCACTTGAAAAGGAGAGAAGAAAAACGGCCAATAAAGCTAGAAGAAAAGTTCAAGAGCTCTTAAAAGAAGATAGTGAGGAGGAATTAATCAGTGATGGTAGTGATGAATCGGATCCAGCATGTCTCTACTGCAACGAGCTTTACTCTCGTTCTCGTCCCAGAGAATTTTGGCTAAGATGTCAGAACTGCAAGGGTTGGAGTCACTCGGAATGTGCTGATGTTAAGAAATCAACAAAGACTTTCATTTGTGATGTTTGTCAACCACAAAGGCGTTTTTAACGTAGATGTTGTCTGGCAATGTTTCAATGTTTTTTTTTTAAGTATTATACCAGTTTTCTACTTTTAATTGCCTTTTATTTAAAAACTCCTATGTTATTTTATTAACGAAAATTGATTTTTCTCAATTTTATAAAGGGGGCCATCATTGGACAACATATGCCTATGATGGCCCTTTTATTTTTTTTTAAACTTTCCTATTTTACTCCAAACTGAAAGCAAAGAAAAAAGTTAAATATGTAGTAATAAAAACAATATATAATAACATATTTTTTGACCAAAGCTTGTTTTCATATTCCAATTGCTTTCCAATTTATAACGAAAAATAGTTAGGGGGGCCATCACAGGTCACCTTCCCCTATGCTTGAATTTGAACAAAGTTATGTAGAATTGATTTGATTTTAATTAATTTTTGAAAGTCTCAAGGGCGAAAATAAAAAATAGAAAAAATATAGAAATTATAGATTTTTTTCGAAAGAAAATTAAAAAAATCTTAGGAGGCTATTTTTTGGTAGTTACCCAACAAACACAACTTATCGGCGCTGTAATGTTGCTGTATCACGAACACAGCCCAAATACAGCACATAAATAGTTTTATTAATGCTGCGCAGCACTTGTATTGGGAATACTGTATTTTAGAAGTGCAGTATTTGATATGCAGCGGCTTTGCAGATTTTGTATTGGAAAAGCGATAGATTATTTCGATCTCCCATGCGCATATTGATGCAACAACTGTTGTAAAATGTTAGTGCAGTTACTGTAAAGAAATGCGCCAATTTGCGCGAGCACAGTATTATTTGCCGTAGAGTTGTGAGCGTAGCCATTTTGTTTTATTGTATTGTATTGTATTGTATTGTTTCACTGATGCAGTGCAGCGTTTTTGATTTATAATTTTTGTGGTGTTTTTCACGTCTTTTATACCTGTGATTTGTATTACTACTTGTACAAGATGCATTATTTTCAACAAGAGGAAGGTGAAAAATTGATACAAATAAACAAAAACAAAGGCCCCCGTATTATCATAACCTAAGTTTTCTATCGTTTTTCTATTTGCCCCCGTTTTCCGTTTACTATTTTTGTGATTTAAAAAATGGATTTACAAAAGAGAAATATAATCTTTCAGATAAATAGTCTTGGAATACTAGGGGGCAAAAACACTGAAGAAGTAGGTATGTAGGAACATATTAGTCAGATGATTATCTAAAAATTCAACTCCTCAGCTGAACTGGACAGGGCGCCTTCAAAAAGCACCATTTTCAGAATATAACCTATATTATCAACATCAATAAAGCAATTTAGGTAAGTTGATGCAAGGTAAAACGGTTTTTAAATTTTAACTCAATTTTGTCCTTATTTAGTCGATGTAAGAAAAAATAGAGCCAGTTAGAATGCGTCTCAATCAGAAGCTGAAAAAGCCACCAAAATATGGTTAAGGAATAAGGAATATTATTGTTTAATGTCCCACTCCTTAATATATTCTATATAGGTACTATAATTTGTTTTGTCATTTTTCAAAAATATCCTGTCTATATAAAATAAATTATGTCCAATAAATTTAGTGCCACAGGTAAATATACCTAAACAGTATATTGGCTGCACAGTTATTGCGAAACAAATATGTACGACGTCTTCAAGAGCGCTGCGTTATTGCTGTGTAAAAATTGCATAATGAAGAGTCAGAGCTACTGCACCGTGGCTGTACTCAAATGCAGCATGAACTGTGCAGCGCCAGATGCCGGCCGGTGGGACATATATGATCCGGGCTGATGCAGCTGCTTCGTCTACATCGCTGTACAACAAGTACAGCACAGTATCACAGTTTTTGCGCAGCGGCTGACTTTCCGTGTTTGCTGGGTAGGCATAACTTTTAATTCCAAACAACTTTTCTCTATAACATTTTGCTGAATTTTCTAAAATAAGGGTACTTTACAGTACCAGCTTTGATATTGTTTGTATTTACCCTGTATGCTGTTTGACTTGCAACCATTTTAAGTGCACCTAATATGATTATCAGACATGCACCAACTTTTGGCCTTGTTTGTATTTGGGTTGTGCTATTACTAAAAAAAATCCCCATAGTGTGTGCAACAGCACACTTAAAAAATCACACTGTATATACTACTAATAACATAAAAACCCCGTTCGCCTTAATGCCATTTCTCATAAAAAATCAATTGCACTTTGCATATCGAAGTCTAGAATGCCAAGAAATTAAAGCACAATTTCATGTATATGACAAAACTGATAATGAGATCTCCAACCACAGCCCATGCTTCACTGTTAAGAATCCAGAACAAATGCCAATACCTGTATGCAAGTCGATACTAAAACCTCTAAGCCAATTCTTAGACGACTCGAAAAAACCAATCAATGAGCCCGGATTCTGCCAAAAAAGGAAACCATCCGCCTGCAATGTAACAATCCAGATGAAAGAAGAAACCTGTTTGGATCTTACTTCGTCCAGATACCAGGAAGCTATAAGATTATTGTTAACCAAGAATCAATCATCCAGTATATGGACAATTCCCATATACATTATTATTTTATGTCCTATAAGGTTTCACTGCTTCGGGAAATGGCGTACTCTAGGACGAACAAATGAAGCCGAAACGACGAAAGAAAGCATAGAACTTCAAGATGTTCAACTATCCCGTTAACCATGGAATTGAAGCTTTGGAAGGAGGAGTTACCTTACCCCCTGTACGTAGGATAGATGCAAAACTGCTGACCGCCAACTTTTGCTTCTGCTTCGCTTTTAGTTTTTTTAATATGTTCATCTTAGAATTGTAATGGAGCTTTAACAGTTATTTAGGGTCTAATCTGTCGAAATCAGACAAAACTATATTTTTTCAAATACTCCACAATTTTTCTGGTTGATGGCAGTAAATGGACTTTGGCCTACGATAAATTATTTTTGAATATATCTTCAAGTTCCATCTTGCATCAGCGCAGTGTAGTTTTCTTATAGGCAATGTTCTCCTCTTAAATTAGCCCGGATGACTTCTTCACGTCGTTAATTGGGGAATATTGGCTTTTGGAAAGCATCAACGTATACCATCCCAGTCTTAGGTCAAGGGTCAGCAAGGTCCGCCTAACACACACGTTATTTGGAAGGTAAATTTTCATAGATACCTGAGAAAACTATATTTGTTTAAATAGTAGGTTGCCAGAAGATTTACACGTAGAAAGTATTCCCAAGGAAATGGATGAATCGTTTTCTTAGGTTCTTTTTGAATAATAAGAACTTATAATTGTCCAAGAACTTCTCTCCTGGTATCCAAAGATACTGTGGTTTCTCATTGGACCCAAAAGAATTCAATGTCATTTTTTAAAACATACATATATGTACCACTAATAACATAAAAACCCCGTTCGCCTTAATGCGGGAATTATCTAAATTATCGAAACGAAAAAAAAAAACAAATACAAAAAAGAACCAAAATCCAAAAAACCTCGAAATAACCAACATTCAAAAATATTCTGCTACTTCAAATAGTCCAATTTTTGGAAGCATTTTTAAATTTGCCAACAAAAAGTTGAACGAATTTCTTTGCCCCACAAAAATTAGGAATCAGTAATCGTGAAGAAACCATACAAAAAATATGTTTGTAATCTTCTGAATTAAAAAATACTAATGTTTCTAATTCCATTCAGAAGAAAATCGGAAATTTTCCCAGAATGCATAGAGTAATCATAAAGATATTTTTGCAGGAATTCAAATAATCTACCATTGAAAAATATACCAAGCTGAAAAGGTAATAAGGAAAATCACAACTAACTAACATTCGTATTCATAAAAATTAAGTATTTCCTTCAAAGGTAAAGGTAGAAGTAAAAGGAAGAGGTCACAAGGATAAGCTAGAAGGAAAAGGTTTTGCTTTATTTCGTTTTCATAATCTTCTCCTTTTCTTTGCAAGCAAATCCTCGCAAAATAAAGGAAAAGGTAGACAGAGACAATTGCTTCAGTTTTAAAGCAATTGCTGCTGTTTATGAATACTGAAAAAGTGAAACCTTCTCCTTTAGAGCAATACCTTTTTGCTAGAAGTTCAAATCTTTTCCTTCTTTTTTTTATGAAAAGAATTTGAAGTGAATGCTTCGTAAGTAAAAACAAGTCCTCTTTTTTATAAATACGGCCTAATGACCCTTTTTAATCTTCTGAATTCAAAAATACTAATGTTTCTAATTGCATTCAGAAGAAAATCGGAAATATTCCTAGAATGCATAGACTTAATCATAAAGATATATTTGCGGGAATTCAAATAATCTACCATTAAAAAATATACCAAGCTGGAAAGGTAATAAGAAAAATCACATCCAACATAACCTCTCAATGACCCAATTTCTGGATGCCAACTTTTTAAAAATTTAAATAAATTCTTCTTGGAGTATGCCTTATGTCATTGTGCCTGTTTCCAATCCGCATCGTCCATGTAAGGAGGGATCACACTCTCTCAAGATAGACAAAAATTGGATCTACTGAAACGGAAAATACCTTAGAATGAAGTGTGAGGCTGTGTGCACGTTAGGAAATGTAGAAGAAAGAAGGAGGGTTTTGTTTTTCGTGCAATTTATAAAATCATTCCAGTGCAGAGCGCTTTCAGCCTAGGCCATCATCAGTGCAACTTCGTCAGGTATAAATACAGGAGTTCACAGACAACAAAAAAAATCCGTTAATTCAATACTCTTCTAACACACTGACAAAAATTCGTTCACTCTCCACCAATGCTGAATTTGTACGGAATATACAAAACAATGCATACACTTGCCGCACATAGGCGAAACGCGCACTAGTGTACGTACGCTCATGTCGCCTATGAGCGACATGCGCAGCGAAAGTGTTAATATATAATTAATTATCACAAATTATTTAAATATCACATTATGCAAGAGTTGTCTTTGGTTGGTTAGATGATTCTTGTTTCCTTTTTTCTTTTGGATGACTTGCGAATTTGCGGAAAATACCTAGACAGAGAACAGTTCGTAAGTATAGTATGACATGCATATAAGTAATTTCCTATTTAGCTGCTGGTAGCGATACCTAGTAGGACTCCATCATCCAAATCTAGCATGTTGATTGTTTTCTTCACTGGACCTTTGGGGGTTGTCTCGGTTTTGTCTTGACCTTCTCTCCCTGGAAATAGAATTTCAAATTAAGTCACATCAAATTGAACGGGTTCACAAATGGAATGGGAATAGTTGAAACATTTGAAAAATGCCATAAATGTAGGCAACAGTGCATTTTAGTGCCACATTTTTCACAATTTTCGAAAAAGTAAATAGAAAAATGCATTTTTCTTTATAGCTACTTAGTCCTTGAAGTATTACGTACTACTTGAGACATCAAATAACATTTTAGCCATATTTTTTTTTATCAATGAGGAATTTTAAAACATGGCAGCGTCTTGCACCTTGGGCCTTTAAAATGTTTGTACTTTCGGCCGGCCCAAAGTACAAGATTTTTTTTATTAAAAATTTTTTGAAAAACAGAATGTTGTTTTAGATTAGGGTTACCTAAAATAAAAACTTATATTGTTTTGTAGATTCCACAAAGTAAAGAGGGTATCAAGCGCAAAAAAGTAGACGTTGATGCTTTAAAAGCAGCTGTAAATGCTTTTAAAAATGAAAATTTGCCTGTAAGATCAGCTGCAAAAATGTTCAACATATCAAGAACTACTTTACAAGATCACCTGAAACGTAGAGAAAACGGTCAAGAATTTATCTACAAGAACAATGTATGTATGAACAATGTATGTAAGGTGTTCTCGAAGGAACAAAAGCAAATGCTGTGAGAATATTCAATAACTGCGAGCAAAATGCTTTATGGATTAAGCAGGAATGGTGTTAGAAAGCTTGTTTATAATTTTGCCGAGGGAAACAACATGAAACACCCAGAATCTTGAGACCTAAAACGTGAAGCTGGCAAGGAATGGTATTATGGATTCATGCAGTGCCTTCAAAATGCCTCATTGAGGAAGCCTCAGGCCATCAGTTTGTGCCAGGCGACGAGATTTATTCGAGAAAATGTATCTACATTTTTAGGAAAATATAAATAGGTTATAGGTAAATTTAACTTTCAACCAGAAAACATATACAAAATTGAACAAATTGGAATAAAATCTGTCCAAATCACTTAGAAAGTAGTTGCAACAAAAGGCATTCGGCAAGTCGGAAGTCTTACGTCTGGAGAAAGAGGCACCACAATCACTGGGTGCACTTTAAGGGGCACATTTAAGCACACGCGTTTGCTGCACCAATGTACGATGATCCCGAGACATTGTACGTTTTTACATTGGATATATGCGGCACAAGTCTACCCGCGGTATTTACTTCGTGTCGCACGTTGCATGTTACATGCTTGATGTTTCATTGCTGTACGACCGCACTTTTACGGATAGGCCTCCACCCAATGACGCACTGAAAAATAATATTACAGGAAGAAGCACAGAAGTTCCAAAGAGTCCGACATTCAATCTCTTTGCAGACCTTGAAGCAGGGCCTTCAACTAGTAATATTGTAACGTCCACTCCATCTCATTCTTGTACACAACCCCAATCTATCACTTCACCGCAAGAAATTTAGCCGTTTCCAAAAGTACCAAGAAAATCATCTGACAAGGGTAGTCGTTAACAAGGAAGGTGTATGATACCTACAGACACGCCAGACAAAGTAAATTTAGAGCAGATGCATGCAGAGAGAATGGAAAAAAAAGAATCCCAGCACTTGGAGAAAAATTCACAATGTTAAAAAGCGAGTAAGATAAATTTTTCATCATCTTCAGACGCAGATGTTGACATCATGAGTGAGCACAGTTCCAGCGAAGAAGTTGATTAGCACTATGATGATAGACCAGACACCAGAAAAGAAGAAAATCGAGAATTTGTCAAGGGATACTTTTGGCTAACAGAGCTGGCGGACAAGAAGATATATTATTATATTGCAGAAATAGACAAATGACATTATAAATGATGAATATACCATGAGGTATCTAAAAAAAATAGACACTAAAGATAGCTTTCTGTATGAAAATGATAAAACTATTAATTCAAATGACATAATAATGAAGTTACCAGAACCGTCAAGTGTTGGAGGCTCTGAAAGGTAAGCTTTGCATTTGGCGTTTTCTGTGTCTTTCCATCCATATGTTGTAGAATAAATTCCTAATATCTCTGTTTTAGAGTTCCTTTTTTTTTGTCAAAGTTTATAATAAAAACTAGCAAGTAAGAAAGAATAATAAAGTTTTTTTTTTGTATAATTATGTAGCTTTTTTAAACGAAATATCAGTATGCCCAAGGTACAGGGTGATCTATTATAAATGTCAACCCCTCCTAACTTTTTCATTTGACGTTTTTGACAGAAGTGTCAAATACAAAAGTTTTAAGAAATTGTCAAAAGTTTTAAGAAATTATCGTCTCCAACTAAGTCAGTTTTGAACATACAGGGTGCGTCAACAAAGTGTAGCAGAACGAAGTTATATTTTTTAAATGGAAGATCATGTATATTGGCGCTTATTTATTAACCCCTTCAACCTGGTTTCAACGACATACGGTTTGATATGTTCATCTCTCAGTTTACCTTCAATAGTTATAGGGAAAAACCCGAAAATCCCTTCCTAGGTCTTATGTTATTTTTTTTTAAATAATAATAATAACTTAAGACTCTGGATTTATTATGATATTTCACCTTTTAAAGTAATAAATAACATTTAAACAATAAACTGTTTCTCTCTGAAGCTTATATGGTATAATTTCTCTTTCTTCAACATGAGACCTTGAAAGGGGTTTTCCTGTTTTTCCCTGTTGAACTATTGAAGATAGACATATCAAATCGTATATCGATGAGTGGGTTTTCGGGCTGTTCGGCTGTCGTCGTTGGAGATCGATTCTCGGCGTTTCGCCATCACGAGTGATTGAAGACAGTCTTCAATCAGTCGCTTAGCAAGCAACATCTCCTGAAGATGCCATCCACTCGATCTCCAACGACGACGGCCGAACAGCCCGAAAACCCACTCATCATTGGACGATGGCCGCGAAAGCCTTTCACAATTTGTAAA